ATAATAGATGTACAAAATTGATAGGAAGGGGGGGGGGTCCAAAAATTGTTCTCTATGAAATCACCGAAATCTTTCAAATTATTAATCAGATAACGGTTAAAGAGGTATCGCTGTGATTCGGTGATGCCCCTCTTTAAATAGAAGGTCGCATGAGGTCCCTTTAGTAGAAGTTTTCCAGTGGCTAGATCCAAAACAAAATATATGAAATATATAAAATAAAATCATTTCATTAAGGCAAGGTACTGGTAGGGAGAGTGGGGATTTATTAACGTTTACAAGTTTTTTGCATAGTTAGGGTCAATTTTGAATGATAAGTATCTATTTATTAAAGATTATTTTTTACTTTTTTATTTTGATGAACTATTTTTAACCAGGTGCTATATATATGCATGCTTCAATGGATGAAGATAAATGTTCACAGGTTTATTTTTATAAATCATAATGTTAAAATAATTTCAGATTATTTTATTGGCACTGCGTCAATTTAGCATTTTTTCTAGTTCTTTCTAACTGTATTTATAGTATCGATGGTTTATGACCAGATATACAATTTGTTTTACAAAATCTAAAAAAATGTTTTGTTTTTTTTCATTATGGAACTAAAAATAGAAGAAAGTTATTTTCTGGTTCCGAGTTCAGGGAATATGTGTTGTTGAAAAAAGTATGTTTTTAGTGTCTTCGTTTGGCAGAAACTGTTGTTCCTAATTTGAATATCAGAGATCTTGAATTAGTTCTGGAGAGTTTAACGTGGTGGCCAACTCAGGTTAATAGGTAGCTTTAAGGGCCTTTTTTATCAGTTTGTTTATGGATGGATTGATTGATCAATTGATTGTTTGATTTGATTGATTGGTTAAATTGTTGAGAGAAGTTATGTTTGATTGATGAAATGATTAGTTGGTAAATTGAATTGATAAACTGATAAATAATTAATTTCAAATTGATGATTGACTGATCAAATGGCTGATAAACAATTGGGACTTGTAAAAAATGAAGAAGAAAAATGATTTAAATATTAAATTTATTTAGTTCTCTGGCTGCTAAAGAGTTGATTACCAGCCTAGATGCTCAGTGTATTGATCGATTGAAAAGTATTCACTTCAGTTTAGAGGACTTTACACTCGAGGTCAAAACAATATTCCAATTACTTTTTTTTATTTTGTTCAATTTTTTAGTAAGTTTTCATTAATAATGGATGAACTGTAAAGAAATATCTTGGAATTTTATTCATTTTAATTCCGATGAGGGAAAGTGAGATAAATAAATAAATAAATAAATAAATTTTCAAGCATGTCCGATTTACAACGGTTCTTTTTAAACCTTTGTCTCAGCAAGGCCAAATATGCTATATCCTTAGTTTTCTGGCTGTAAATTAAATCGAGCGGATTTCTGTATCAGACACAGTGTGGAGGAAATTGCGAGAATTAAACACGTTATAAGTTTATGTTTCACTTGATTGATCAGATAAATGTTTTTGGGTACCAGTGTGAATTGGACATGCACTTTCAAAATGGCGATTCACTTGAACATTACGTTAGATCCAGTTTTTCTCTGACCATAGCTTATGCTGGATAGCCTCAACTTTCAAGAAGTTTCCTATTCAAAATTAAAGAATGTCTCGATAATTTTTTGTCATTGCTCAACTTACACATTTTATTTAGTCAACATATGTAATCTTATTTCAAAAAGTTATTTTGTAGGATCAGTTCCGTTTGTGCCACTTGTGGATCTCTTTAATCTTTCAACCCAAGTGAGTTTAAAAGAATTGTTTCCTTTCTCAAAAAAAATATTATTTCAGATTTATACAAAATTGCAAATGTACAGTGAGTGATTTACAATGATTTCGGAAGACGACATTATAGCAATACTGAAATATATTCAATTTAATTACGAAGCAATTAATTATACTAGACAGTTATTAAATCCCTAATTTAGTGATATGGGTCTGTTTACATTTAACAATTGCTGTGCCTCATGCTTATTGGATTTTTAAAAGTTATAAGTTGATTCTAAAAGTCGTATTCCTATTTCAGAGTTTAGGGTTATCACTGTACACAATTGTCTTTTAACAGAATTGCATGGTTTGAAATTTAAAAGCATTTCCTTTATTTTACCATTCCACACTTGCCTAGTTCAGTGAAAGTTAAAACAGAGAATGCTAAACATGAGTCAACTATTAATTATCTAAATAAAAGTTTAAATATTCTAAAAATTATTGTTTTTCAATCTTAGGATCGATTTTCCGGACAAATGTCTGCTCCAGGTCGCGTCTTATATTGGGAAAAGGTAATTTATAAAATAACATCTATATTATAAAAGAAGACATTCGTATATATGATCCCTATAGCCGGCCAAAAGGCTGGACCGAAAGGGCTGAAATTTTTGAGTAAGGGGTAACAAAGGCTAATAAAAAGTCAAAATTTGTTATTCTTCAAAATTTTTCAAAATTTCAAAAATTTTCAAATTTCAAAAGTTCAAAATTTTCTTCGAAATTTTTTTAAAACGAGAACATTGAGCCTTATTCTCCACTAAAACCAACCAAGGTCGGTTTTATTTTCGTTGGGCCTAACTCCTAAGTCGAGCCTAAGATATTGTAGCTGTCAATCACGTGACACAAGCTGTCGTCAGAGTTGGGTCTAATATTAGGTCTTAAAGTCTGGTTTAAGGAATTACGGCTCGAGCCAAAGTTTTTAAATCGCGAACTCAGGAGTAACATATTTGTTTTCAGTTCGACACCGGTTGTTGTTTCTTTTCTCCTCCTACTTTCTTCTTTTAAAAATGAACAGGCAAATTTTTTATCAAACATATTGGTAATTTTTATTTTCATATTTGGTAAAAAAATGAAATATTAAGCGATTAGTAGTAGTAATTGATAAATGTTTTCTATTAATTTTTCCAATATTCCTCTTTTCTGTATACCCTTATTCACTTTATTTAATTGTGTTGCATTATCTCCCCCCCCCCCCTCGTAAAGTCTAATAAGCGCTTCTAAAGATAGCCGATGAAGCAATTTGTATTTCTCAATTTGGATGGTATACCAAAAAAATCAGTTGTATGATTTTTTTCAACTTTTCAGTACACAACAGCTAACTTTGCAGTACACAACAGTTGACTTTGCAGTACACAACACTGACTCGGCAGTACGCATCAGCTGACAGTACTTTCACTAGATATGGATCGGAAAAGAACACAATTTCCCTTCTTCCTCGCTCGAGAATAATAGTGTTTAATTTTAAAATTAAAATGTTTAGGTTTCAGAAGTCCTCAAAGAAAATTCAGCAGATACCATAAGGAATGTAGTAGGACAATGCTCATAAAGAAATCACTGTTAAATAATTGATTGATTTATAATGGTTGATTGATGGGTTTTGTTTTAAATTAGTTATTGCTAAGTCCCAGAAAATGACAAATTAAAAAAATCAAATTTATTGGTTTTCAATGATTTGATTTGATTAATTAAATAGATTCAACATATTGAATTTGTACCATATCCAATTTTACGTGGATTTTTTAATTATGATGTGTAAGCTTTATATATAACTAGCCTTATAGGGCGCTTCGCGCCCATCTTCTAAATTAATTGTGAACATGTTCTCTTTGTGTACATCGTAAAACAAAACAAAAATAATTCGCGGATTTTCACAAAAAAAATCGTGGATTTTCAAAATTTTCAAAAATTTAATGAAGATCGAACTTTGATGAAGACAAATATTTGAAATTTTGATCATTCAAAAAACGTGATGTCCCACAAAAAATTTGGGCCCGATCGGTTCAGCCGTTTTGACGTTTATTGGATACAAACAAACAGACAGACAAGCCAAATTTATATAAAGATATAATTCATATATGATTGATTGATTGATCCTATTATTGCCTGTGACCCAGATCTAGAATAAGAGAAAGTATTTTTCCTGGAATACACTTTTTCTCCAAACCTGAACTACTTGCTGCATATACGGGGATGGTCAGGTGATCATTTTTTGTGACCCATGCGTATCGATGCTTGTGTGTGTGGGGGGGGGGGGATTAGTGGATAGGGTTTTCCACCTTTACTCTTACCCAAAAGTACATTTTTCCCGTTAAAGCGAATAAAACTAAATAAAAGATAACGTACTTTTAATTTGTATTAATTATAAAAGATGTATGAAATTTTGTGTTCATATTTTGGGTGATGCGTTCTATTTAGTGCTTCAACATTAGGTCGTCATTTTTACTATTAATAATGGAATTTAAGGTGTCCAGCCTATTCTCATTCGATCTCACGTGATATCTCATATATCTCCCCCCTCCTCCCCCTTTCCAATTTTACATTTCTTTAACTTTTAAGTTTAATTAAAGTTGATTTGTCTCTTTGTTATTGGTCTATTTCTTTAAATTTCTAAAGCCAAAGCTATGATTTTGTTATCTAGTCAATTACTCTTCGTTACTATTTGCCTATTAACAAGCATAATCTCTATTTAGTTGTATATTTGTTAATTTTTCTATTTTTGAGTGCGCGAATCAGCGTCTAGCAGACTCACATCGTTGAATAATTTATGACAATATTTTATCATTTTTTTATTCAATTATTTCGTATGTTTTAGTACTCGTGGTTTCGATTAATAAAGTTTATGAGAAGAACTTCAACAGTTAAGAATGTTATTTGACAGCTTGAGGACACGTAGAACACCTTATTTTTAGTATTAGATGATTTTGAGTTAGTTAAAAAGATTTTTTTCAGGTTAGGGGAAAGTGATGAATTGGCAGAACTTAGACATTTCCTGGAGAACAAATTTGGATTCAGACTTTCTTAGAAGATGTAGATTTGAGAGTTTTCCTTCAGAGAAATTATTGGTCAATTCAAGGGCTACCAATCAATCTCTTGATCAATGATCAATCACCCGATCAATTCAGTGATGAATTGATTAATCAATCTAATCCGAAAAAGTTATCAACCAGAAGAACAGAAGAAATATGTGAGTGGTGAAGAAAAATTGTACGTCTGGCCTTTAAATATTACTTTAAAGAATTGTTGATGAAAAAAAACTTTGAGACGTTAATATGTTATTCAGATAGATCAATAACCAATCAAAAAGTTTAATTTCTTCCGTAATATTTCTTGAGTACTTTAAAAATGTTCAATTATGGAATATGTTATTTTATTCTAATGTATAAAATGTAGATGATCGATATATTTTTGTAATATTTCAGAATATTTTGAATGCTTGATGTCGTCGAAACAAGGTTCTTCAGCGGGTGTTGGTAGTGGAGTAGATCTTAAGGTAGAATAGAGAAGGAATCAGGGAAGTTAGGCGGACCAGTCCGTCTTGTCATGACACGGTGGCCCATCATATGTCTTAATAGAGTATCCGGTCATGTCACATGATTTATGGTCCCGTCCGCCTATGTAATATGGCAGTTCGACCTGTTAAAATGGTGTGTCATGGGATACCATATCACATATGTGGCGCATCATGTCGCATGAAAAGTATCATAGCAAATGATATTCTTGATTTTTGCTATAAAAAAAAGTTTTTATTGTGATATTTTACTACGTGAAAGTTAGAACTGCAACAGTTGATATGCATACTTTCGTTGGTATAAGAACCGGTTCAATGGTTACCATACATTGATTGTACTTAAATTTTAGTTTTAGTTATTAAACAAGAACTAAAAAAATAAAACATGTTTTTAATAATTACAATAATATTTTTAGGATGCCGATGACGTAAAAGAGTATGTTGAAAATTTGGGAATAGAATACAGGTGAGGGGAGAAATTTGGGAATAGAATACAGGTGAGGGGAGACATTTGGGAATATAATACAGGTGAGGGGAGACATTTGGGAATAGAATACAGGTGAGGGGAGAAATTTGGGAATAGAATACAGGTGAGGTGAGACATTTGGGAATAGAATACAGGTGAGGGGAGACATTTGGGAATAGAATACAGGTGAGGGGAGACATTTGGGAATAAAATACAGGTGATGGGAGAAGTTAAAAGCATTTAATTAAAGAAACTGTCGATGTAACTTCAGCTTCAAAGAGGGGGCATGTCTTATTCACATTGGTATCATTTAAACCTTAATCTGGTCCATTATATGGAAGATAATGTCGTTCTAAAGTGTTTAATTTTTCGGTTGTTCTGAGGCTAAAAACAAAACAAAAAAGATTTGTAATGTATGCTTAATCAGACAAAGTTTTAGGAGTACCGTTGTAAATCGGACAACGGACATGTCACTCTTTATTGGAGGGTCACTTAAAATTACTTTTACAGTTTTAATTCAAAAGTGTTCAGCAAAAAAATAATGTGCATTTCACTTGAAAATGATAAGATATTATCTAACGTTAAAAAAGGTATCCTGAAATTCCGATTGATAGTTTGATTGATCGATCGATCAATTAAACTAACTAGGGTTGGTTATGATTGATTGATTGATTGATTGAACTGCAATTTTGGTTCTGATAGATGAATCGATTTAATTACCTAAGTTTGGATCTCACTGATTAATTAATGGGACTACCTAGTTTTGATTGATTAATTGTACTTCCTTGGTTTGGTTCTGACTGATTGATTGATTAATTTAACTGTCTAGGTTTGGCTGTTACCAGGAGAAGAATCCCAAGTCCTGTCATCTCCTCGGAGATTACTGGGAGAGTATTAAGAAAGATTTCTCTAAGGAAACCTAACCTAGACCTAGCTCGAAAGTATCACAAGTTTACGCATTTCCCGCCAAACAATGTCATCTCAATTCCCACCAGTTTGTGTCACTTCCCATCAATCTCTGTCCCTTAACATTCTTTTGTGTCACTTCCCATCCGTTCGTGTCATTTCCCAAGTTTTTCTTTGTCACTTCCAATCAGTATGTGTCACTTCCTATGCGTTTGTGTCAATTTCAGGCTACGCCCTTTCTAATCATTCCGCGTCATTTCCCATTAGTTTGTGTAACTTCTCATCAATTTCAGCCTACACCCTTTTTCAAAAGAAGGCTGTGTCAGTTTCCACGAGTCTACGAAGCTTCCCATCAACCTGAGCCCCTTTCCATATGTATGCGTCACTTCTATCAGTGCCTACCAATTCTCTCAGAACAATTCCCATGACATTGCAAGTTTCAAAGAATCATAATATAACAGACAATTTTTTAAAATGTGTTAGAATTCATAGGTTTGGTGATTTTTTTAGGCGTACAAGACATACGAGCTAAACTGTACAGATTATAACTTTGGGCATTCCTGTCATAAGGTCACTTGCATTACTATTATTGTTACTGTTTTTATTATTATTAATTTAATTTTCATTAATGTTATTATATTATAATGATATTATGATATTATTTTTATTATTATTAATTTAATTTTCATTAATGTTATTATGTTATTATGATATTATATTAGTAATATTATTATTATTATTATTATTATTATCATTATAATCTACATTATTACCACTTTTTGCTAGTTTCCCTAAAATAGTTTCACCCTTACAGTATTGTTAATGTTATCATATGTTTACTCAACTGTTATGCTCATGTTGTAATTATCATCATTATTTTCAACAATATCATTTATCATTATTGTTTTATCATCATCATTTTAACTTAACTTTTACTGAAGGCAGCTGGCTACCGATGGTTTGGAAAAGCCTGTGAACAAGATGGAGATTTAGCATTTTCATTTTTCAAAAAGGTTTTTTTCATAATTATGCTCTTTTCTTTTTCTAATACAGGGGATATTAGTTACAAAACTAACACTTGGCCCTTTTCTAGCACTGAGTGTTAGAAATGGACCAAATCTGCAAAGTTATCTTTTTCAAGAGTATATATCTTTCAATCCAAGTCGATTAGAACAAAATTACACCATATATTTATAAAAAAAATGGCTAAAACTGTATATGGAAACAAAAACTGTCAATTTTAAATTAATGATATGATGTGAGAATTAGTTTTTGATGATTCTTGATTTCATTTTCGAACATATCCCTATTTTGAAACATTTACCGGATTTCAACTCATTTCGCGTTTTCATAACATATCCTGGTTTTGAGACAATTACTGGATTTCAGCTCATGTCGCGTTTTTGGAACATATCCTGGTTTTGAGACAGTTACCGAAATTCATATCATGTCATTTTATTAACAAGTTTTTAAGCACCAAATAAATATTTTAAAAAAATTTTAAATCTTTTTGTTGTCCAAAAAAACCTTAACAATGTACCGCTCCAGCTAACTAAACTGACGTTCAAACAAATCTCTAGAAATATATACCCCTTAAATATCTATAAATAACCTTTTTTATACTCGATCTTGGTCCGTCTATCTATCTATCTTGTTATAATTTATCCATCTCTTTATAAATATATATATATAACTATAGATCTATTTATGGTTCTCTATCTATCTATCTATTATGACATCCCAATAAATCGTAACTGTCCGTCTGATTGTCCGTCGTACGTCTGTCTGTCTTACCATATATCTATCTATCTATTATCTATATAGGGTTGTGAGCTAGATTATCATTCATCCTGTCTCTCCGCCGGCATTCTAGATACTGCCAAACCTTCAGATAAGGTAGGTTGGTTGGTTGGTTGGTTGGTTGGTTGGTTGGTTGGTTGGTTGGTTGGTTGGTTGGTTGGTAAGTTGGTTAGTAAGTTGGTTAGTAAGTTGGTTAGTAAGATGGCAAGTAAATTTGTAAGTTGGTTGATTGGTTGGTTAGGTGGTTGATTGATTTGTTGATTGGTTTGTTGGTTGATTGATTGGTTGATCGGTTAGTAGGTTGGTTGATTGATTGGGTGGGTAGTAGGTGGTATGGTTGGTGGGTTGGTTGGTTGGTTCGTTGGGTTGGTTCGCGGGTTGGAGGCTTGGTTTGCTGATTTGTTGGTTGGAGGGCTGTATTGCGAATTGGTTGATTGATTGGTTGGTTGGTTGGTTGATTGTCAATTTGTTGGTTAGTTGGTTGGATTTTTAATTTGTTGGTTTGTTGATTATTGTTAATTGGTTGGTTGGTTGGAGCTTGGAGGGCTGGTTTGCAGATTTGTTGGTTTAGTGTTTGTCCAGTTCAATTCAATCTTTGCTATACCGTCTGGTCAATATAATCCGTGTTATTGATTGAATGATTGTTTCTAGTTGTACCATAGAGCCGAGCCTCCCAATCCAAAACGGGGTTTAGAATTTTTCAGGTAAAAATCTGTTACTATCTAATAAATTGACTGTACACCTAAAATCACCAGTACATTGATATATAATTTATACTTGATCTGAGCCCGCGATTTAAAATATTCGGAAAAATACGACTCGGGGCTAAGCTGTCGTTGGGCCTTATTTACAGCTTGATCTTTCGGATTCAAGCTGCATCTTATTTCCACAGAGTTGAGTTTAAAAAACCGGTTTGATATTCTATTTGGCGAATTTTCAAGGTAGGAATTGGTGCATTACGGGTTTTTATGAGAACAATTCTCAACATTGAGCCTTATTCTCTACTAAAACCAACCAAGGTTGTTTTTATTTTCATTGGGCCTAACTACTTAAGTCGAGCCGAAGATATCGCAGCTGTCAATCACGTGACACAAGCTGTAATCAGAGTTGGGTCGAAGATTGTGCCTTAACGTCGGGTATTAAGGAATTAAGGCTCGAGCCGAAGTTTTTAAATCTCGGGCTCAGGCAAATTTTAGGGTACCGTTGTAAATCGGGCATGCCAATTTACCTATCAAAGGTCACTAAAAATTACATTTACTGCTATTTTTTTGTCACACTTATCAAAGTTTAAAAATTTCTCATGACTCTCACAACGACAATAAATGTTTTAAGCAATGGCATTTCGGAACTAGTTTTAGATAAATGAACAATATCTTTAAAGCTAAAGTTAGAAAACTTTAATAAAAAAATAGAAATTATTTTTTGATTCAGGAAATCTTGCGAGGAAGGGAATCTTGCAGAGGGGTGTCATCGCTATGCTTCTTTTTTTATTAAGTTAATTCTTTTCTTTGCTTTTAAATATTTTACCATTGATTGATTGATTGATTGATTAAGTGAGTTTTTTATTAACTTACTAATTCATAAAATGTGTAATTATTTTATTGACTTATTGATTAATTAATTATATTATTAAATTATATTATTAGATTATATAATTTGATTTATTAATTAGGTAATTGATTTTCTGTTTTATTGGCCATTTTATTGATATCTGATTAATTGATTGATAGAATTGATTCAGTATTTTATTGACAGATTTAGTTATAGATTAAGGTTAGGTTTTTGATTGACTGATTGATTGGTCGATTGGTTGATTGGTTGATTGATTAAATGATTAATTGATTGATTAATTGATTGATTGATGTTCAGTGGGATGAAGGACGTGTGCAAGAAAGATTTGGAGCACGCCTTTAAATACAGTTTAATGGTAAAAATGATAATTTATATCTGTATTGAAATATATCCGTGGCTAAGGGTCGTGTTTTTTTATCAATAGAATATGTTGAAAAAATTTTTTTATTCTTTTTCATCTTTAATTTGTTGTAAAAGGCTTTTTCTTCCATATTTTATTTGTTCATGCTTTCTTTGTGTCAAAAACGTCTTGTTTTCTTATTTTTTGTTTCATTTTTGATTTTACAAAGGAATGTGTCCTAACTTATATTTTGTACAGGCCTGTGAACTGGGTAGCCTGGGGGGATGTACAAACGTTAGTATTATGTACAAGTAAGTAAATATTATGAATAATTAAGTAAATAATATATATGTGATCAAGTAAAGCAGGGAAACATGAGATTACTCCCCCTGTATTGAAATAATTTTGCATGTCTTTCTTTCTACTGTTTTTTGGTTCCTTATTAATAGAAGGGTGAGGGACAAGGGTTCAGTATTTAAACTAGAACTTAGTTATCTTTCACGTCTAGTAGTGTAACCCCCAATCTTTTCTGTTCATCTATCCATCTATTTGCCTGACTATCTTTCTTTCTATCTATCTATCTGTATCTATCTATCTATCTATCATCTATCTGTATCTATCTATATATCTGTATCTATCTATCTATATATCTGTATCTATCTATCTATCTATATCTATCTATCTCTATCTATCTATCTATCTATTTATTAATCTATCTATCTATCTATCTATCTGTATCTATCTATCTATCTATCTCTATCTATCTATCTATCTAATGACATTTAATTACATTTAATGACTTTAAATGACTTTTAATGGCATTTAATGACATTTAATGACCTTTAATGACATTTAATGACATTTAATGACTTTTAATGACTTTTTATTTTGTTTGTACAGTTATTATTATTATTATTTTGTTTTGATGAATATACGTTTTTAATTTTTATTTGCAGAGAAGAGCAAATCAAGTTCGCCCAAGGATCCTAAACCCGACTGAAGGAAGGAATAAGAGTAGAGAAGAGCGTTGCCAGATAACTAAAATATTCAGTCAATAATAAAATTCATTCAGATTTCCTTGTTTAGTTTCAGAGTAAAATGTAATTTGCGAAGTTTTCAAGACAAGAAAAATCCGGGAAATTTTTTTGTAGAAAACCGCGGGAAACTTTAAGATAAAATGGGGAAGTCTTGGGATGCCTCAAGGTGATGACATACATTTCTAACCTTCGTCTTCGTTAAAAAGAAAACCTACAAGTCATACATTTTGGTAAACATGGCTAAAACTCAATATTACAAATTTCTTTTTGTTGCTAGATTATGGGTAGATTATGATCAAACACACTTAAAAATATCATATTAGTATTTTTGAATTGAATTGAATTGGCTTTTTTGATATACATAGGATCCATAAAATGTTAAACTCTAATTTCTTTGCTACAGATTTATCAATTGTGTTTTTTTTTTTTCCGTGATGAAATTATGAGTTGGTCAGATACACGTCATTCAAAATTTTGCTCCTCAAGTCCAACAACTATTCGGGTCAAATTTTTCTTTTAACGAAACTCTTCACGTAAAATGAAGTGGTCCTTCATTTGATACTTTTACCACTATTCCATTTAAAATTACTCGTGGTTTCTACGGACAGGTCATAAAGGTTGTGTTTTCATGTTAAATCCATTCAAAATAAATTATATTTGCAAACATTTTTTTTTCCGTTCCTAAAAGTTTTAATATTTTCAATATTTCATTTATCCAGATTTGAATTTCCTTAATAAATGAATTTTTATTTAGGATTACCGAGAACAAGGATCCTTGCTGGAAGGAGAGTAAACTCTCTATGTCCTGTATCAGTGATAACGGATTCGACAAATCAAAGTGTACTCTTCAGGTAGATTTCAAGCTTTCAGTTCGCGGATTTTTATCCTGCAAACAAAATGGCGGGTTTTATTATTTTCTCTTTTTTAGTTTGAGAATTATAAGAGTTGTAAAACCTTCTGGATGAATGTTAAGTTTGCAAGAAGAAGACAGGTTTGTTAATTGCTTGATATTTAAATTTGATTAATTCATTGAAAAATCTTTTTAGTATTATAATATATAATTATGCCAGTCTTTGTGATCGATTATTTTATTTATAACCGCACAACATTGCCGTTTTAACAGGATTAAAAAAAACGTGAAGCGCTACTGTGATTATTTAAAGTAGTGATATTCTTACAAAAAGTGCAGTTAACATTTTGAAACTATATTTTTAACGCCATTCCTTCCTACAGACACTTTTTAAGAGACATATTATTTTGCAATTATTTTTTTCTCCAAAGAATATATCATTGATTATTTTGTTGTTAGTGTATATTCAAATTTGAACATTTCAGGGCTTGTACCCACTAGTGCCTGAAACAGAAGCAGAAAGGAATCTTTTTAGAGAAAAGTACAGAGAAACAGGGGAGATACCCGCCCGAGTAGATTAATGTACTGTACTGCAAGAACCTTTTGAAATGTACTGTTGTTCAGTGGACAGTTCTGAACCGCCATACTCTGTTGTTATGAAAAAATTATACACACTAAAATATCACAAAACGAATGTTATTTTTTAATAAAACATATTTTCTTGCTTAAGAGAAAAATAACAAATCCGCGAGATGAATGCAGAATATCCGGGAAAAACCTATTTTTAGTCAGTTTTAGAGCCAATAAGAATTTGTATAGAATTTTGGATTTTTCCAGAGAGAATGAACTGCGTAATTTAAAAATGGAGATAAATGAAATCGAAGACGAACCATGGGAAATCGGAGAAGGAATGGAAGAAATAGCAAACAGACACGAAGGCGATGAAAATGAGCCAGATGAAGATAATGATGATGATGAAAATGATAAAGAAGATAATGATCAAGATAATGATAATGATCAAGATTATGATAATGATCAAGATTATGATAATGATCCAGAGGATGATAATGATCAAGATGATGATAATGATCAAGATGATGATAATGATCAAGATGATGATAATGATCAAGATGATGATAATGATCAAGATGATGATAATGATCCAGAGGATGATAATGATCAAGATGATGAAAATGAAAGCAACGAGGATCAAAGTGATCAGATAAATGGATCAAGACTGATAGAAAACATCTTCTTTGAACCCCCTGAGGATGATGATCCGAAAGAACAGGTTCTGAATTTTTTTAATTTACTTCAAATTCAAATGTTTTAAGTTTTTGTGATATTACTGATTATAATTCAAAATAGTTTTGTCACAGAATTCGAAAGCAAACAAAATTGGTCTTCAAAATACTCCAATTCTTTTATTCTGATTAGGAAATTAGGTTAATTAACTTTAAGTGTGTGTTGATCATTTATTTTAAAAAGGCTTTTAAGGAGCATCGTTCACTTTTTTTTCTAAATATTAATATTGTTCTTTAAGTTGCCTTTTTCTACCTACATAACATTATATTTGTTTTTATCAAATTTTCTTGACAATAACTTTAATGCTGACCGGCCATAAGCTTTCCCTTGGGTCAAATTCTTACACAGAAAGTTTTGGCCGAATTGACGTCTATTGTATTCAAACAAACAAACCAAATCGCCTACTTTGAAGATAAATTTTGAATTTAAACTTATAGGAACCTGAACCTGATGTAGAAAAATGCTGTAACAAGTCTTTCATGCCATTTGTTGATGAAAATCTTTCTGATGAAACGTCAGCTGACGAAACACTTGCTAATCAGGCTTATGCTGCTCCGCTTGATGATCAGGCCCAAGCTGATACGCTTGATGATCAGGCCCAAGCTGATACGCTTGATAATCATGCCCATGCTGATACGCTTGATGATCAGGCCCATGCTGATACACTTGATGATCAGGCCAATGCTGATACGCTTGATAATCAGACCCATGCTGATACGTTTGATGATCAGGTCCATGCTGATACGCTTGATAATCAGGCCCAAGCTGATACGCTTGATGATCAGGCCCAAACTGTTACGCTTGATTATCAGGCCCATGCTGATACGCCTGATATTCAGGCCCATGCTGATATGCTTATTGCTCAAACATCTGTTGATATGATGAATGCAGAAGAGTCTCCTGGATATGAGAAATTTTCTGCTCTTGCGCTTGCTGATGAGACATTTATTGAAGATGAATTTGAAATTGTGGAAGAAACAGTTCTTGAGGATAAAACTTTTCTGTATGAGGAAAATGAACAGTTGGAAGCTTCTAAGAAAGAATTTACTCAAATTGCACAAGACCATGATCATCAAGAAAGTTTACTTGTTCAACAAGAGGAGGAATTAGATCAAACTAAAGAGAGTAATGTTTCAACTGGATTCCGCTATCCATCCTTTGAAACCAAAATCATTGATAACAAATTTTTAAATTTCGATCAGAAGATCCTGATGAACATCAAAGGTGATTAATCAATTTATTAGACAATTAAAACTTATATAAATAAACCGAACTACTGGATGTAAATAAACCGAACTTCTGGATGTAAATAAACCGAACTATTCGATGTAAATAAACCGAACTACTGGATGTAAATAAACCGAACTACTGGATGTAAATAAACCGAACTACTGAATTTAAATTAACCGAACTATTCGATGTATATAAACCGAACTACTGGATGTAAATTAACCGAACTACTGGATTTAAATAAACCGAACTACTGGATTTTAATAAACCAAACTACTAATTGTAGCCCCTCTTTTGATGTCTAAATCACTAGTAGTTCTATTTAAACCGTAATCCTAATAACCATGTGAAAGAAAAACAAAACATAACGATCGAAAATTATTAATTTTAAGTGAGAAAAACAAGGATATTCCCATCAGTTTTGCCGAGAGGATGGTATAACGGTACCACGGTACCTTCGTCAAACGTTTTATTAAAAAATCAATCAAACTTATGTTTACAGAGATGGAATTTAAAGAATTTGAGCCGCGGTTTAAATCCGGCAAAACCCGGCTTAAATTAAGCGCCGGCTTAAATCTTGAAACATGTGATACAATTTTAAGTGGAACCAATCATATTTAAACCGCGGCTTAAATTTAAACCGCCGCTCAAATTCTTTAAATTCGGCCACAGTTCCTTCAAAAAAATATATTTAGATAAATTGGGCCAACAGAGATTTGTCAAAACTAAAATATTCAATTCCTGCCGATATTGAGGTAAGATTTTGTTTCTTTTATATCAGTAAAATTAGAATACATTGGATCCGCAACAGTTTAGCTCCCTTTTTCCGAATCTGCATAAATATGCGGAATTGTTAAGATGTGCGGATCTGAAGATCCAAGTGACAAAATTTCAATCAAAATTCGAGAAAAAAAAAACTAATTTGTTGGTCCCTATAGTACATAATGTTTAATAATACAAAGATGTTTAGAGCTCAGACTGATTAGAACATGCGACTTTATAAATAAAGGGTCACTTAAAATTACGTGTACAGTCCCTTTATCCATGATATTTGTTCTAGAAACACAGTCCCTTTATCCATGATATTTGTTCTAGGAACACAGACCCTTTATCCATGATGTTTGTTCTAGGAACACAGTCCCTTTATCCATGATGTTTGTTCTAGGAACACAGTCCCTTTATCCATGATGTTTGTTCTAGGAACACAGACCCTTTATCCATGATGTTTGTTCTAGGAACGGATGAGAAAAAGTGAATATTTCCCCAGTAAACCTAACCAGTGTAAGAAGATCTTGCTAGCAGACACACACAAATATACAACGGAAATTTTTCTTAACTTGAAAGCTTTTTTACCGTTTTTGTTTTTTTTACTTCCTTTTTAATATAAACTTCAAACATTGTTTGTTTAGTATTTATTAGTTTTTTTTTATAAAAACTAACTTTTAGGAAGGCTTGTAAGAAAATACTCATTTTGCAAAAATGGTCGTTTTGTTTTTCCGTAGAAAACTTTAATTTTATTAAATTCCATAATTGAGGTTGAAATTACTCAAAACAAATACAAGTTTAAAATCTCGTAATAAATTACAAATTTCGGTTATATTTTTTCTAAAGCGATTTGATCAAATCCGTTTTAAAAATTGTGCCGCTCTCAATTCTAATTTCATATATGTTATGCTTTAGTTCACCTTTGTAAATTGTTATTATAACTAAGTTTTAAGTTAAGAAATATGTTATAGATTGACTCAACTCTTCCTGAAGGATTTAAGGTAAATTATACAAAGTTTTCAGTATCCCGATCCATTGAATCCGCAACATGTTGGCTTCCTGGATCCGAATCCAAGGGGCAAAATATCAACCAAAATCTGCCAAAAAAAATTGTGCTCATAGCGCAAATCTTGACTGTTTTCTAATTGAAAGATTATTAAAACCTTCCTATGTGCTGAATGTTTCATCAAGTTTTAGCCAAAATTAGCAAGAAAAAATATTTAATAAAATTTGTAATGATTAAGTAACTTTATTGACCTGCTTTTAAATAATTTGAGTAAAACTGAATAAAACTATATATGTTATTGAAATGGGTATCATGCGTGCGAAAATGTTTTGCTGTGATTTTAATTTTTCTAGTTTGTTTTCGATCAAAATAAACTAGAAAAAATAAAAATCCCAACAAAAACTTTTTCGCTCTTAATAATACCCATTACAATGACATAAATAGATATAAATTTTGTGGTTTTCAAGGGAGAGTGGACAATTTGATAATTTCGAGGAACGCAGTAAAATGCGAATACTTTAAATTTTTACATTTTTACACAAAAATCGTTTTTAGGTTTTTATCTGTTGTCAAGTGCTCTTATATTATTGTGCACATTTTCACCTTCGTTTTTGTTTGTACTGTAGAGTGTATGGGTTTTGATTTCTCTTAAATCCTTTACATAATGAAGATAAAAATTGAATGCTACCAGAAATGGTAAATCATGTTTTTAACATGTATTTTTTGCCAAATTTAAAAACTGTTGGCGGAAAATCAAGGAAAAGAAAATGTTAAAAAAGGAGAGGGAAAAAAATTAAAATTTTGAAAATGGTAGTGGTCAATTTAGGGCAAAATAATATTTATGAATTGTTTTTGTGATAACTAAAAAATAATTTTGGACCATAACTCTAACTTAAATATTTTTGATTTAGATAAAAATTGCAATTTTAATAATATTTCTTTGAATTCCTAGTAGTAGTATACAAAAAATGAAATGAGAAAGATCTCAAAATTCCAATATCTAGGTTTGGTCGAGAAAGAGAAGAACCAATCACGTGGACAGAGACTACTTAAGTCCAGATCTGAAATTTTCCTTCAGATCTAAAACAGCTTGTGTTGAATACATCAAACTACTAGGGATATTGACTAACATTCAGATCATTTTTAAACTATCTTTATGGAAGGGACCTTTCATTTATTTTCTTTATTTCTTATATCTGATTTACAACATTACCTTTAAACCTGTATCTGATCATTGTTGACGAAGATATTATTTTTATTTTTGCAGAAAATATAGTGCTAATAATTTTAGTTTACTGAAGTGGGAACTCCTAAACTATGATTCATAGAATCTTAAATATTTTGTATATGACGCTGCTTTTAAGAAAATGTATCGTTTGCTAAGTCAAGTTAGAGCCAATATAAATTTAAATGGATTCTGATTTTTCTTAGAGTAAATTACATTTCTGGTTTAAACAAGGACCTGCCTAAGTAAGTTTTTAGATTAGCGGGATTCAATAAAAATTGTTGCATACCAAAAAACAAGATTTCTTATGTCTCCCAGAAAATACATAATAATATTTATTTTAAATAAAACTGCTTGCTTACAAGCTTACCAACAATTCCTAGCTTTTTCACCATGCTAAACCATGTAAGCTTCTTTCTTCTTCTTTGACCAGACAAAGGTTATCGCTGTGAATCGGGCAAACCACTCTTCAAATGGAAAATCACTTAAATTTAAGTTTGCCTTCAGTCTTCACTATAAATTTATTTCATGTATTTGCAAATAAACATCAAGTGTATGGTAAAAAGATACAGAAGTAATGATGGGTTTTTTATTTGATCATGGAAAAGACTTTATATTTTTCATTATTCTTTTTTGGACCATTTTCACTCTTGGTTTATATAGATATTGGTCTGAAGTACTTGATGCAATGCAAGGGTGTGTATTTTGGAAAACTTGTATGAAACTATATTTTATTTAAAAGAACTTTTGTTTATAATATGAATGTTAGCATCATTACCAGATTCCCCAGATCAAGCCTTTATGTCGATTGGAAATCATTCTGGGAGTACCTCCGCTAATCTTAAGTTGACAAGTTTAGAAATGTCTAGTTCTTCTTACAAGGACCCCAATCCAATTCTTAATAAAGTTAAGAGCAGTAAAACTTCAACTTGTAGAAGTAATTCTGTTAGACCAAATAATCCAACTTTATTTAAAGAAAAAAAGTTGCCTATAGTACCAGTAGAGTCTCTTGTGTCCTCATCAGAAAGTAAGAGACAACCAGGAAAATTGTCACTTGTCCCAATAGACTCCCTGGTGGCTCAACCATCTAGTAATAAACCTCCAGCAGCTCCAGGGTATGAAAATTGTTTGATTAATGCTTATGACAGACAGAAGCTGCAGCAAGAACCTTCCAATTGCACTGGATTTAAAGGGACCGATAATGTCTCAAACTACAGAGCAGGCAATCAGTATTCAGTATCATTTAGTAATAATCAAACTCCAGAACCAGTGTTAAAATCTTTACTTTACAACCTAGAAACAAATAAAAACAATGCATCATCAAACTTAGTTAGTATTCAGAAATCTTTTGACTTATACAAGAAAACACTAGGTTCAAGACTTTCCCCAGAATTGTACATAAAAATGACCAAGGATGTTGAGCTTGCTAAGTGCAGCAAACTATCTGCCTTTGAAGTGACAAAGCTTAAACTAGGCATCTACAATATTGTGGAGTACTGGACAAAGGCAGTTCAACCATTTACACCTTTAACAAATCCAGCTCTTGAGACAAAAAAGTTTATTGATCTTATGAAATTGGCAGAAAAAAGTAACACCAAAGGTTCAGATGTTGATGAAGTAAGAAAGCTGCTTATGACTCCCGACCGAGCTGACTCTGACTTTGTTAGAGTTAATGTTTCAGAAAATCTACTTTTTTATCACCGGCTCAGATCAAATTTGTTCAACCCTCTATTGGCAAGGTATGATTTTGTGGTAGACCATCTTATTGGAAAGAAAGGCTATCATAACTTTGATGCTAAAGAATCAATTGCCTTTCAACATATGCTATCTCTGCATAAATTATCAAGACTCAATCTCTACCTGAAACTGGAAGAAAACTTTGACTTTCAGTTCCTGGAATTATTGGAAAAATACATTTCAAGAAGAACAGTTTCTTGCCCTTCCTGTCCTGTTCAGTGTCAGAACCTGTTGGAAGTGGTGCATCACTATGGACTAACACACTATTTCAAAAAGTTTGAAAGCCTGATAGGAAATAGTAGTTGCTGTAATGACTGCATGAAACCTTTCCATGATAGAACCAGATTGATCAAACATCTTGCTTTAGTCCACAACAGAATCCTCATAAAATATGTTTCCTGGTCTTGCAAGTTGTGCAATTTCGAATCACATGAGAAATCCGCGATGTTTGAGCATCTAAAGATATCTCACAACATTATAAGTGATTCTGAGGTGTCACAAAGTGTCAGGATGGAGGAATTAAAAAACTTACAGTGTACTGATTGTATGGAAAACTTTAGTTTCAGTGATATGAAGAACCATGTATTCGATAATCATTACAGGGGAAGTTTTGAGCGTTTGCTAAGTTCTACCGTATCTCCAACATCCAAGTGTGATTTTTGTGAGGCAGACTTCTTCAGAGAATCAGACTGGAAAATCCTCATAACCAGACACTATGCAGTGGAACATAATTTTATTTATCGTTTTTTACACGTGTATCCAAGAGGCACAATTCAAATCACTTTCAACAGTTTAAGGCCCTTTCACAAGCCAATTACAAAAATAGAGGAAGAGGATGTAATCATAATTGATGATTACACCCAAAGTGATTCCCTCGGACAAGATGCTGAGGATGAAATCCTGATGAGTGGAATATCAAATAAAACAGACAACATGAAATTAGCCAGTCTTCTCAAGACAAAAAGACGAGACACCCTTCAGTGCTGTCGTATTTGCAAAAGAAAAGTATTAAAAAAGAAAATGATCTCACACTTGTTGTCACTTCACTATCTCAAACAGTTGAAAAAAGAGTTAGAAAAGGTGGGAATGCATGGTAAAAATCAAACCATTTGCAAACTGTGCAATTTTTCCTATCCTTTCCCAGTTGAGATGCACTTGCAAACTCATTATGCTATGAAGCATAGTAAAGGATTTCTGACATTTCTCAATAAATTTCCAGGAAATGATGGATTAGAGAAAGATCTTCCGGAATTTAATGATTCTAGCGAGGATAACTTTGACACTCCCATTCCAGAGAGGTTTGCTACCAGTGTAAAAGTTGTATCAATTGTTCAAGCAGAAACTTCGCCATGGGTTGAAAATTTCAAACAATTTTGTGAAGAAACAATCAATGAACCGGAGTCAAAGGAAACAGTTAATTTGAACTTTACCATCACAAATCCTTTAATATTAGAAAGATATTTAGAAAGTGTTATAAAGACACCAGCAAATATTGCCATATTGGACAAAATTATCAATCAGCTTGAGGATACATCCTCTATCACATTGGCCAAACTTCAGACTGTGAAGAGGTACCTTTTACTTAAGGATTACCTGACTAAATGCACCGAGGCATCAAGTACTATCTACAATATTCCGCTAATGCATGTAGTGATTTTTCTTTCTCAGATGATGACAAAACCTGAAATAGCAAAGGATGACATTTGCTGGTTGATGAAGAAAATTAGCGATGTTCATGAGTTTGTCGAAGGAAAGCCAATTGGAATGGATTCTAAGATAATTGATTTTTTCAAAGCAATTGGGTATCCAGTAGACCATACATACTTTGAGCTACCAGCTCAAGTGCCCAAATCCATCAAAATATGTTGCACAAAATGTCCAGATAGTTTTAAAACCAACAAAGCACTAAGTGTTCACATTTCTAGACATCATTCTGAAACTGAAACCAACTTAAATATTGCAAGCACGCCTAAGGAATCAAATCCTCATGCTCCTGAAACTTTGAAGGTGGGAATGGGAGAAGCTACGCCAGACAGATATAAATGTTCAGAAGTTACCAAAGTATTCACCAATAAGGAGAAACTGCAGATTCATAGCAAAAAGCATTCCATTCACCAACCTAAGATTAAAAAACTCAAAAGAAAGTTGTCAGGTATCTATCAATACATACATCATCTTTAAATTACTTATCACAGGACTACTACAGTTTGCTAGTAGCATTTTTCCTACATGTCATTTTTGATAAAGGTCATGTTCCTCTTTGAAAAACTTCTTTAGTGTCACCTAGTCGCAGGGCTCGTCACGCTACACTGTCCTTGCCGCGGTATTTAGAAGTGTAATTGGGGATGTTTTTCATTTAAAACAAGTAATGACACTAGCAAAATGTTGTAGTGCCCTTATTACTGATGGGTTGAAAACTGAAACATTACATAATCATGTTCTCTCAAGGATCCCTGAAACAAAAAGAGAAGGAATCTGACCAGATAAATCCTGTTGCAAGCTGCAGCTCAGAATTCGTGTTATCTAAGAGATCTGAGATTCAACCAAGTTTGTTTAGAAAAACAACTCCTCCCAAGAAATCTTTAGGGATCCATACACTTCAGATTTATCTTATTGCATTTCATTTGGAAATCTATAAAAAAAAGTTAATAATGGAGGTAGTTGCAAACAAAAATCATAAGTAAATATTACAGGGTGTAAGAAGAGCATCACAGATTTTTAACTTTATCCGTTGAAATCAAGTATTAAAAATTAAGTTTATCCTTCTGACAAGTTGACTCATAAGTTGACTTACTATGCAAATAGTAAAGAATCTAATGTTTTCAGGGGTGTATATTTTTAAGAATTACCCCCCACTGTCTGGGGGGTTTGATTTTTATAAATTGGGGGGGGGAATAAAAAAAACCTCAATAGACAATTTTTTCTTTCTTCTTGATACTTTTTACCCAAAAGTTGAATTATTTTTTCCAATTAAGCAAATAAAACCCTAGAAAAATACATAACTTACTTCTGGGGTAATGATTGTTCAATCAACGTTATTTTCATTTCACCGTATATAATAAAAATAAGTTCGAATTTACCTAACTCCGGAGTCATTCCTCAACAAGTTTTCTTATACAGTTATTGAAAATCTAAGTGGAATGATCTGTAGGCAAGACTACCAAGATATTATCTCAGTTCAGACAACAAGTTGGTACAAGGCAGCTGCAACAGATGATTAAAGAAGATACGGGTATTTACACCATTAGAAGAAATTCTAACATTTACGCTAAATTTATTTTTCCTCGGATCTTTATTGTAAAATGTTAAGGATATTCAGTTCTAACATTTTATAAAAATCTATTGAAAAATTAAAGAGCTAAAACAAAAAATCCGCAAAAAATTGTTCGTGTAATCTGGACCAAATTTTAAGGAATGGAACATCTAAAATGTGCTTACTGTTTACAAAATCTCCCTATTATGAATTATCTACATTTAAATAGCATAATTTTTTTCTGTAGAAAGTTTCATTTTGTCATCTTTATAAAGTAAACTGTTATTTTTTGCGGATTTTTTCTGAAAGCTCTTTTAATACAAAAGATTTTTATGAAACTTTGGAATACAATAGAAAAAACATTGTCTAATTGATATTTGAAGAAAAAATAATTTGTCACTAAAAATAGTTTTGCGGATTTTTCTTTACCAAAAAAATATTTTTTCATTTGTTTCACTTTTTTCAATATTTTTCCAATTTAAAATGATCCCTGCAAACCTTTAAATAATTTTTTGTAAAACAGTGCTTAACTTTGTTTTTTAGGTGTTTAAAGTTAGCGTAAAGCATTTATGCTTTACTATTTAGCGCGGGGGGGGGGGGGGGGGCATTTTCTGAACTCATTTTACAGAAGCAAGAAATATTCCACTTTGAAATCTAAGGCATGTTTAAAAAATACATTTTTCACAAAATTCAAAAATGGGCGCCTCTAATGATTAAGTTTAAGGAAAAATTGGTAGTTTTAGTGAAAATGAAAAACGTAAAAAACATGGATATCCATGGAACCAGTTTGAAAACTTGATTTCAAAACAATTTGCAGAATTTAAAAATATTGATAAATCGCGGGAAATAAATTTCATTTAATAATCCAAAAAGTGTTTATTTGACCTGACTTGATCAAATTTCAATATTTTTCAATTCTGTAAATTGATATGAATTCGGATATTTAACACAATATCCAATTCAATAAGTTTTCCAAAATTTCCATTTTCTCTATACTAGAGATTTTAACATTTGTGAGAATGCATTTAATAAACATGTCTTAGTATTCCTAGAAGAATACTGCTCTGCTTCTGTAAAATTGTTTCAGAAAAATTTCGCACCTTTACTATTTAGAGTGGTGTATTTTTCGACCTACGCAAATCCGCTATACTCCACTTCTGACCTACGCCAAATAGACGATGTAACATTACCCTATTTAGGTCTTGAAATTAGCATGAAGCATTTATACTCAATTTCTCGTGGTGAGAAAGGGTTTCGAGGAAAAAAGGGAAAACTAGTGAAGCAGTGGGCTCTCAACCAAGCCAACACTAGCGAATCAGGTAGATTTAAGGGAAGGGAGAAGAATGCTTTCTGGGAATTGAGACTTAATGGATTTTCTTAAAGTTTGACTTGAACAATGAACATGTAAAGAAACACAAAAAGTTTAAAACCAAAAATGTTAATGGTTTTTAATTGCTGTCATTGTTTAGTACCTTATTGCCTTAAGTTGAAAAAAAAAACAGTTTTAAATCTTATTTCCAACAACATCATACGACATCGCTTTAAAAAGGTCTGTTAAATCTGGTTCTAACATTAAATATATATCCTAATTCATGTTACATACATAATACTGTTATAGAAGAAGTTCCAACAGTACCAGCAGAGCAGATGCAAACTGAAGCACAATCACAGATCTTAATAAAGGATGAAGGTTAGTTGTGTCTCAAAGGGACTATGTGCGTAATTTTAAGTGACACTATTGATATAGTGGCTTGTCAGATTCACAACGGTACCTTTGTTAAGCATGAATTAGATATCCAAGTTTTTTAAATGGAGATATTGTAAGAATGAATGAATTACTTATCAAGCCATAAGAATATCTTTCTCATAAGAGGATACTTCAAATTACGAGTTGTAGTATTTTAAGATAGTGGCAACGAATATACCAGCTGACCAGGAACAACCATAGCTTTGTTTTCAAATGAAGTGTACTGCATTTTCATACAGAAATATAAACATTAAACAAATTCAGGCTGATCTTTGTTAATATTCCACCCGGAAACTGCCGTACACCAAAAGTGTAAACAAACCTATGGGAGTTTCTGGTATTTTTCTAGGTGTGGGGGATCTTCTATTTGCTTTGCTTAGAGAAACCAATGGCAGAAAGTCATAGAAACATATGATATATAAGGAAAAATATCGGTTTCATCGACTTATTTAAAGTTGCAAGGTTCTTAGATGTAAAATTGTGCATTACTGCTAAGGTTTCCAATATCTTAAACATTATTTCTCTACTCCCTTTTCTACAGCATAGATATCAGTGCTGAGGATTTTGAATTCCTGGATCCGGACCCGCAAAATACAAACCGAAACCTGATCGGTAAAACGGGAAAAGAATAAAAAATGAAAAGTTTATAAAATTACTAATATACCTGAGTACTAGCATAATAAAGTCAGTGACACTATTTTCTGGAAATGAATATTTACAATAATAGCTTATATATATATATTAAACCCCCAAGCCTAGGAGTATTCTTATCTGAAACACAGAGGATATATAGTACACAACAATTTATAAAAGTAACCAAAACAGTAACATATTTATAGCCTATACCCGCTGACTTTTCTAGTATCATGATGTAGTCCTGTGATAAAAAAAAACATCATCAGAATAGACAAAGTTTTCATCTGTATATAAAATAAGTAAATATTGAAGCCTAAGCACTGCTAACAATAAAGTATTATTAATTTTCTTTTTAGTTGAAAAAGACGTGAAGAAAAATGTAGAAACTGAGACAAACAAACCTAAGAAGACTGAAAATAAAGAAGAGCAAGTAGAAGAACAAGTAGAAGAACGAGATGGGTAAATAAAAATCTTAAAATAAAAAAACTTTTAAATATAGTTTGGTATTATATTTGATCAGTTTGATAAATTGTTATGTACAAATATAAAGAAATGTATATCAATTCTAGTCTAAAGAGGTTGTACAATGTACACGTAATTACAAGTGACCCTCCATTGATAGAGTGGCATGTAAATTGTACATATCCCAATAGTGCCCTCAAAAGCTTTGTTTGATCAAGTTGAATTTATGTATCCATGTTTTTGTTGTTAAAAACGGTTTTTTTTTCTTCATTTCGCGGTTTCTCTTTCAAAGTCACTTATACATTTCTTGCTTCAGAAACAATAGAGAAATTATCAGAATTAAACACTTCTCAAGCCAGAAAAACGACGTTATCTTCTAAATTATTAATCAAATAAGAGAATCGGGCATGCCCCTCCTGAAATGGAGGCTTAAAATTATAACATTAGGCACTTAAATGATTGTATTTTAAAGTATATCTGAACAATTAAAGAAATGTTCAAGGTTTAACAAAATTCTACCAAGGAACTGATTACTCTACTTTTACTCTAATTTTCTATTTTATTGCAAGTTTACAACCTAAGCCCGCCATTTAATAATTAAGTCTAAACTAAAACGCTCTAAGTTGGACCGGACTTGGTGTTTCTTGTGTAAGTGCTGGAATATTTCCCTAGAAGAGTAAACCTACTAAACTAAGAACTGATAAAGCAAGCTAAGAACATTCTTGTGATTTTATAAAGTTCCCCAATCAAAATTTGAGGCAAATCTGTAAACAAATAGATAAACAGAGAGTACTTACATCTTCTAGCTTGGGAACCCGGTGCTGCCCAGGTTACTCATAGTTTATCCGCATTTGGTCGATTTTACCTGGAAAATAAATGTTCGCTATAAAAGTCGACCCACTTATTCCTATGGTTCTCCCGACTTTCCCAATTGAAATTCGAGGCAAATCGGTCTATAGGGTTCCTGAGTTATGATCGGACAAACAAACAGACAGACAGATAAATAGAGATTACTTTATATATATAGAAGTTGTAATCTCTGTTTGTCTGTTTGTTTTTCCGATCATTACTAAAGAACCTCTGGACCGATTTGCCTCAAATTTTGATCGGGGAACTAAGGAGCCCCACGGGAATGATCTTGGCTTGGTTTTAAGTTTCAAAATTTGGTGGGTCGACTTTAATTGCGAAAATTTAGTTTCCCGGTAAAATCGACCAAGTGCGGGTAAACGACGGGAGTAATTACGAGAAACCTGGTCAACGCTGGGATCCCAAGCTAGATATGTATATAGATATAGATAGATACGTTCAGCTAGATCAAAATGTCAATGTTAGAATTATCTAAGTTTCCACTATCAGGGGCAAATATTTATGGATTACAAAATAGTAGTAAAAGGCGAGTACTCAGTTCTTTTATTAAGAAAATTTATTTAGATTATTTATATTTTAGATTTACGCAAGAATTCATGAGCTTATCAATCCCAGATATTGCGTATTCACCCCTTAAATTTTGAAATATTATTATTCAATGATATTTCCAAAATGTAAAGATTACTAAAAAGTTGTGTTATCTAGGAGAAATAGAGGTGGAAAACTTCACAACTGAACGAGCTTGCAAGATCAAAGGAAAATGTCGTCTTCATTACAATTTTTAAAAACACATTTATCTAGAAGAAGATTTACTTGAAACCTCAAATCTTAATAGTTTCGGGGGAGGAAAATCTCGAAAATCAAAGTTAAAAAACATGTGTTTTATGGCTTTTTTCCACTGAATTTTAATAAAAATGAACACTGAACAATAAAAAGTTTGGGATATCTGTAAGTAACTTTTTTATCTGAATTTAAGTAAGCATTTAAGACGGGATTGTGTTTAAGGATGTGATGTCACGTTCAAAGATCCGGTTCTGGCCTTAAAGCACATCCGGTTCGTATCCAACCAGTTATATAGATTTTGTTTATCCATAATATTTATTTGAATTTGAAAAAAATTATTGAATCAAAAATAGAATATGAAGTTCTAGGGTTGGGGATGTATATTCTTACTCCCCCCATACTTAAAAGACCCTTTAAGCATAGAAGATAAGTCTGTTTTTTGTTTCGTAAAAATCTACATCCCTAAATCTAGTTAGTATGCGTATTGTGTAATGCGTAGTGTGTGACAATCTGACTCTGAAATTTAAAAAATCGACATTATTAAATAACAAACACTACATGATTGAATTTATTTTAATGCAATCAACTTTTTTATTACAATTTATAAATATTTAAGGAATGAACATCTGCCGAAAAAAAGGAAAACCTCACTTGAAGTAGCTTCCAAGCCGAAGGTCAATATTTATACTTTATATATATACTTTGCTTGTCTGTCTGTTTTTTTTTGTATCCAATAAACGTCAAAACGGCTGAACCGACCGGGCACAAATTTTTTGTGGGACCTCGCGTGACACCAGGGAAAGTTTATGGATAATAGAATTTTCAAAAATTTGCTTGTTACAAAATTCGATTCAGGAAAATTTTAAAATCCACGAAATTTTGTTATAAATCCGCGAAATTTTTGTTTGTTTTTGTTTTACAATGTACACAAAGAGAACATGGTCACAACTGAAATACTAGATGGGCGCAAAGCGCACTAAAGGCCTAGTATTTTATAAATTTTTAGCATATTTATTATCAAATTCAAAATGTAATCAATTTTTAAATATTTGGCATTCATTTTTAACTGATTAATGTTGTAATAATAATTTAATTTGAAAAATATTATTTCAGAAAATCCTGCTGGTTCAAGAGACACAGCCAGTGATAGAACAACAATATGCTTCAGAGCTAAATCATCTGAGTCAAGAGCTAGAAAATGTTCCAGAAGATGATCAGCTGATTTCTGAAGAGTCATGTGTTTCAGATACCTATCAGCTGACTGAAAGACAGCCACGTAATTCAGAGACAAAAATACCAACTCAAGAGCTAGAAAATGTTCCAAAAGAAGATCAGCTGATTACAGAAGAATTATGTGCTTCAAAGACCAATTGGCCGACTGAAGAGCGACCACGTGTTTCAGAGACAAATCTGCTAACTCGGGAGCAAGAAGATGTTTCTAAGGATGATCAGCTGATTACAGAAAAGTCATGTCTTTCAGATACCGATCAGCTGACTGAAGAGCAACTACGTGTTTCAGACACAAATTTACCGACTACAGAGCAAGAAAATGTTCCAAAAAAAGATCAGCTGATTACAAAAGAATCATGTGTTTCAGATACCGATCAGCTGACTCAAGAACAACCACATGATTTTGAGACAAATCTTTCAACGCAAGAGCAAGAAAATAATTCAAAAATAAATCAGCTGAATCCAGAACATCTCCTCGATTCAGAGGCAGACCAACAGGTTGGAGAAGACCAAAAGTCTCCCATTGATAAAACTGACAGGTTCAATGAAGTGAAAAAAAGAAAGAAAAGAAGACTTGGAGAGGAATGGATCTTCAATAAGAAAATATGTAATGTAAATAATGACAAAGAACACTGTAAAGAAGAAGAGCAGAGAGTAAACAAGAAGGAAAAGGGTAAACAAGAACAGAAAGAAGAATACAAAGATGATTACAGTTATCTAGATAAAATAAAAGCGACAACACCACACATTGAGGTAACATCATTCTAACCCTATTTTTTTCCATAGTTGTAATTTAATTTAACTTGAACGCTGAACAGAGTTCGTAATTTTAAACTCAAGTTTAAATAGTCCGATTATCATAATACACTGCAATTGCGCAGTGTAAACAGACACATTTTACCTAATAAGTTATTTTTATATCTTGCCAGTAAATGCACGTCAGTATTGATATAATGAAGTCCTCCTATTCCACAGTTTTTTGTTTATCACTGTAGTAGTAGATTTATTTCAACTGGCACACATTGAAGAATTTGAATTGTTTAGACTTTCCGAATACTGGTTCCTGGACTTCTCAACTCAGAATATTTTATGTCCAAACCTAGTGAAGCTGTAATCTGTAGAAATCCTGAGGCGTATATACCAGGTTAATTAATCTTGTATTATTATTATTATTA